TTTCGGGCAATTCCGGGAGCATAAGGTCGTTGACATTAGTTGAAGACATGATTCTACAATTGAAAGGATTTGAAATAAAAAAACCATTCATTATACTTAAATAAGATTGAATTCATGCATTTTAATCAAACTTATTTAAAACGTCTTATTCACACATTAAAGATTGTCCCCATTTTAGGTGAGAATAAGTCAATTCCAAGATCCAAAGAAACAAAGAGTGGTTAAGCATGCTTTGGCTTGTCTTAACACTCAATCTCCTAAGGTAAGCAACGCTTTGCTAATGGCTCCAAGCCACTCTTGGTTGAATAAATCGTCGCATCTAATGCTCTCTAAACAATTTATTCACTTTGCCACGACATGTTAGGACTCCATCACTCATATCGTTGAGTATAACCAAAACCACCTTGCATACCCGGTATGCCTTACGTTCCTTGGAGAAGTAGTGATGCCTCGCTTTGGCGTAGCCCACCACTACCCTCATTCGGTTGGTAAGTGTGTTTTGGAATGACAAGTTTTACTCAATATTTTAGGGACCTAGGGTTTCTATGTTGGTTGATTTAAGTGAACTTAATTATTCATCTCAACATTCGAAATCCTAAACTTGCATCTAACATATAATTCATATATATAAAAACATAAATATATATCAAAAACATAAATAGAGATGCATTTGGAAACTAGCATGACCCCTTGAGATCTTCAATTCTTCAAAAGGTCTTCATTTGCAACTTCATGGCTTTGTCTTCTAAGAACCCCGTCTTCAAGACTTGACCAAAATATTACAATTTCTAGTATCTACGATTAGGACTAATCTAAATATTAAGGTACAAAAATACTTAACGGTTCGCAGACCATATTTAGATTTACAAAAATACATCACGGATCACAGTCCGTATTTTCTATCCTAATCGGGCCCCACTAGTTGCCATTTCATAAAACCTGTGAGAGAATTTTACATTCCATTCATCCATTCACTATCTGTGAATGGCCCATGCATTTTACAACGATAAACAAGTAACAATGCATAAAACGCGCGAGAACTAGTAACTAATCTAGGTGGTTAATCCAATTAACACGCCTAATTAAACTAGTCAAAGTTGTTTTAACCAGTTATGGAAATAACTAAGAGACGCTCCCACTAAATTCCGCATCCAACTTAACTAATCCAATTAATTAAGTCGGTGAACCCAAATATTTGCCAAAATTAATTTTTTGCAAATGTCGCTAAAAAACCGAGGCCTAGCCTCCAAAAATTTTAATTAAATAAACAAAGTAATTAAAATAATTAATACGACAATTTAAGCAAAATAAGTATTCCAAAATGTCTAAGTGCCTAGCACAAAGACTTGGAGTCCAAAAAAAAAATAACCTTATTTACATATTAAGCAACGCTAAAAATAACTTTAAAATAGCATCGCCTTAATAACCCGGGGTTATTGTGCCAATTATGGGATTGTACGTACCGTACAACAAGCACGTAGTATGCCCATGCGCACCCCCGCAACACCAAGCATGCATGTGGGCTGCTTGTGCTCGCATGCGCTACGCCCAGCCCAGCCAAGCGTAGCAGCACGCACAGCGCGCACAACATTATGTTGCTGCTGCGCCATGCTGCTGCTTGCTGCTGGCTGGCGCGTTATGCTGCTGGCTGGCGCGTTATGCTGCTGGCAGCGAGCAGCAGCCCACGCCCTTCCTCGCACACACACACGCACAACACCAAGCACCTAAGAACGAAGTGCCCAGCAGCCTCGACAGCCACATATGGGTTGCGTGAGCAACCAGCTGGCCGAGAGCTAGCTCGGGGCTCTTAGGCCTCGTGTTCCGTGCTAATGCTTCGAAAATTATCGATTTTTGTGTGTGACATTATAAATCAATTCTAAATTAATTTTAGAATCAATTTTGTGGAAAAATGAAAAATAACAAGTCCAACTTAAATAATTCATCCAAATGCAATTAACCAAATTTATTTCCAATAACCATTCTTTAATAAAATTGGTTTAACTTGGTGTAATAAAATAAATTAGGGCAATTCTCACTATTAATTTAATCACTTTAAATTAATCTTGAGATTTTGACAAAATAAAAGGGAGTTGGAAAAATGAACATAAGTTCAACAAAGACTCAAACTTTAATACTTGTGACTCCATGAAAAAATTATATCTTCCAATATGAAGATAAACCAATTTCAATCACAAGTTTTATACTTTATGATTCCAATCAACTAAAAAATGATTAAATCAACAAAGTATAACCAAAATTCATGGAATTTAGTAACTCAAAGTTTCAATCACTTATCATAAATAAAGATTGAATCTTTAGTACTTGGAAGCAACAAAGAACAAAAATTTCACACTTAATGCAATTAATCTGCAATTATGTGAAAAAATAAAACCAAATTCTCAAGCACCAATTACTACCAAGTAATCATGCTTAAAGTGGTCTAAAATTGCATATAAATAAAGGAAAGAACCAAATTCATAACCACCATAAATATGCAATCAATTTTCAAGGTTAGAAAGATTTAAAAATTTTCGTCAAAACGAAAAATCCCTCGAAAAATGCATTTCTGGTCGTTTTTTGGCTAAAAACCGAGTCCTTAAAGGGTAAAACCATTTCCAGAACGCCTTTTCCACCCAAAATTCACTATTTTTGGGTCGAAATCTGGGTTTGGGAGCTAAAGACAGCTCTAATACGAGGTAAAAATTGGAAAAACGAGTTACTAATCTAATTAGCAACTTAAAACCAGAAAAAATAAGTCATAAAAACACCTTGAAAATATTATGATTTTAAAAATAAACGAGCGAGGCTCCGATACCGCTGTTGGGGTTTGGTGAGTCCGACTCACCGCGGAAACAAACCCAAAAACAAGACCGCACTCGTAATAAATAAAACCATAAACATAATTAAATTAATCACAAGATTAAGATAAGCTAATTACCTTTGACGCGTGCTTCGCTCCAAAATGAGCTCTTACTTGAAAGCTTCAAGTCCCGCTCACACGGAGACCTCCAACGAAGTCCACCCGCACCAACAAAACCGACTAGGTCCAATGTCTTGGGGTTAGCAAGACCCGACCAATATAACCCGAGTAATTATATTGAGTTCAAAGGATTTCACTAATTGTGATGCCTTTTTCAACTCTTACTCAAGCATCATTCCCAATGCCCATATTTGGGTATTTATAGGAAATGATGGGAGTATCATTTACTCTCCCATCAATGTGAGATAGTATGATTTTTCCATTTTATTTTAAAGCTAAAATAAAATTAATGATCAAGCTAGTAATAAATCAACAAGTGGCAAGCTCATGTGAGTGGTTAGGTGAGGACCACTTGGAGAAGGGGGGGACCAAACTTGCTCCCCACTCCCTCTCCCATAACCGGCCACCTCACTCCACACACACTCAAGGACCACAAGCCACATGGCACCCACCCTTGGGCACCAAGGCAGCCAAGGTGGGCTGCCATGTGCTGCTGTCCGTGGCAGCCACGCCCAGCAAGCCTAGCAGGCCCAGCACCCGCATGCGGGCTGCCAGGCGCTGCTGGCCAGCAAGCCTAGCATGCTTGTGCGGGCTGCTGCTGGCCTTGTGACTTGGCCAGCGCTGCTAGGCAGCAAGCAATGGCCTAGCCATGCTGCTGCTAGCTGTGGCGAGCTGGCGCGCCTAGCGTGCTAGCTGCTGCAGCTTGTTGTGGCATGGCTTGCTAGCCATTGCGCGCACAAGGCTGTGCCTAGCATGCTAGCATGCACTAGGCAGCGCCTAGCCTTGCGAGGCTAGCATGGGTGCGCTAGCACGCACCATCCAGCCTAGGCTCGGCTTGGTGCGCATGCTAGCCACCATGATGGGCCATAGGCCCTTAGCACTCGGTTTTCTTGGGCATTCCGATGCTAGGGGTATTTTGGTCTTTTGTTGATTTATTACTATTACTCGTCTCGTCTTTTACTATTTTTCGACTCGACTTCCGACGCTCGGTTTCGACGCTCTAAGCTCGAATTTCCGACGTCTAAATCAATATTACTCGGTCGACTCATTAATTCCTTCCGAATTAATTCGTCGTTTCGGTTTGTTGAAAGCTTGGGTGTGACCCGAAGGGTTCAATCAAGATTAAGCTGTAATATTAATTATTCATTAATATTACTGATCGGAAGCGGCCTCCACCCAGGCATTCCGATCACTTGACCTCACTGAATATATTAGCTTTCTAATAATTCTGAACCCACTAACGGAATAGTACACTTGTTCGAAGGACACTATTCCTTTCACATACTCTGAATGGTTTGATTGACTTGGTAGTTTTTATGCCTCAAAGGGTATGACTACTAACAGGTTAATCAAATCATAGTAATGATTGCCCTTGGACTAGGTGCAACACCGAATCAACAGCTATTGCGACCGTATTGTGGGCCTTATGTGAGCCGTCCATTGAATCTATTGCTCGGACATACTCAAGAAATTTCAAGTAATATCTCAACTTTAAAATTTCTAAGTTTGGCTGGGCTATTTTGCCTAGGTATGCCCTTGCCCCCATTTAAGGAGGTGAATGTCCTTGACGGATTTAGGGTACCTTATGCCTTTCTCTGTCTGTCCCAATGGGAAGTAGACGTTTACATGTGCTTATCAAAGTATATTATTTTTTTTGCGGACCTTTGTGACCGTTTTGCTATGTCTTAAATAATTTTGTTCAGCTTTTATTGGTCGTGTTGCTATGTTGCAAGCAGCATGGTTATGGTTTTTACTCGTCCTTTAATTAAAAAAATAAGACGTACGCAAGCAAAAACTAATAATTCAATAAGATAACAATGTCTGACTTTTTCATTAATTTGTCAAGATTACAATGTTGGGGTCGTACGGCTTTAATTACAAGGCTCGGTACCTAGGTGTATATATATAGCTTTTTGGCTAAGTACAAAGACTTCTAAACATAATATTTTTTTAGATTGTCCGTGTTCCACGTACCTGGAATTGGACGGCCATCTAAGGCTTCAAGACGGTATGTACCATCTTAAACTTCTTTGCTAATTCGATACGGCCCTTCCCAGTTTGGGTTTAACTTATCATCCTCATTTGCTCGGCCTACAGCCTCCATTTTTCTTAGTACCAGGTCTCCCATCTCTAGCGGACGCTTTGACACTCGACGATTATATTCCCTTGTCATCCTCAAGCGATAGATTTCGCGCCTAAGCGCCGCATTTCCCCTGACTTCTGGAAGGAAGTCCAGGGCGGTCTTCATGGCCTCCCAATTGACCGCTTCATCATATAGCATCACCGTGAGGGTAGGCTCGTACATCTCAATTGGGAGAACTTCCTCGGCACCATAGACCAAAAAGAATGGGGTTTCTCCTATGGAGCTCTTGGCTGTTGTTCGTATGGACCATAATACATTAACTAGCTCATTAGCCCATAAGCCGCTTGCTATTTCAAGCTTGCACTTGATACCATTGGAGATTAACTTGTTATAGGCCTCTACCTGGTCGTTGGCTTGTGGTCGGCCGACTGAGGCAAAGCAATGAGCTATGCTCTGGTCTCCCAACCATTCCTTAAGTTGAGGAGTTTCAAAATGAGGCCCATTGTTGAACACCATTGATTAAGGTACCCCAAAGCGAGTAATTATATTCTTCCAAATGAAAGCTGACACGTCCGTCCACTTAATGCCCCGGACGGCCTCGACCTCAACCCATTTCGTGAAGTAGTCTACTGCTACAAACACATATCTTCTTTGGCCAGACGCTGGCGTATACGGACCCAAGATATCCATACCATATTTATCAAAAGGGAACGGACTACTTATGGCCGTCAGACTGTTAGTTGGGCGATGGATTAAGGTTGCAAACCTCTGGCACTTGTCACATTTTTTTACCATTTTCATGGTGTCCGATTTCAAACTCGACCAATAGTACCTAAGTGAGTGGCCTTTTCAGCCAGGGCTCGTCCTCCAATGTGGGAGCCGCAATGCCCCTGGTGGAGGTTGTCTAGCACATCATGTCCCGTCTCAGGGGTAATAAACTTCAAGTACGACTTCACAAAAGCTTTCTTAAACAACTCTCCATGCTTCATTTATAACCAGGTCGCCTTCTTTTTCATCAGCCGACTCTCCTTGGGATCGTCCAGGAGCAATCCCTTGAGTAGGAGATGATTTCGTCCATCCAAGTTAAGATTCTATCAATGATCTGCACTACCTCGGCATCAATACTCCTCTTTTCCTTTACTTCCCAAAACACTGATCTGGGAGTATCACATGATGCCGAGGATGCTAATTTGGAGAGGCCGTCCGCCTGATGATTAGACGAACGGGGGACTTATTGCAGAGAAAAGTGTTCTCAGCTCTTGGCCTCCTCTTTGACTATCTTCAAATATTTAATCATGGCCGGATCCCTTGCCTCAAAGTCACCATTCACCTAGCCGACTATCAGCTGGGAGTCCGAGCTCATATCCACCTTTGGTGCCCTTGCCGCCTTACACATTCTAAGGCGGGCTAGGAGGGCTTCATACTCGGCCTCGTTATTAAAGGCTTGAAACTGAAATCTCAGCGCATACTCAAACTTATCCCCTTCAGGAGATTGACAAATAATTCCAGCACCACATCCGATCGTTGTTGCACTACCATCTACATATACCTTCCAGATCTAGTCTCCGGCCAGCTGTAAGTCCGGCCATGTCATCTCAGCCAAAAAATCAGCAAAGGCCTGCCCCTTTATGGCTTTTCTGGGCTCAAACGTGATGTCGGAGCCTCTCAATTCTAAAGCCCATTTAAGCATGCAGCCACTAGCTTCTAAAGTTGCAAACGGCTTCTTGAGTGGTTGATCAGTGTAAACCACTATTGAATATGCCAAGAAATACGGCCACAACTTTTTAGATGCCATGTACAACGCTAAACCAAAATTTTCAACAGGGGGATACCTAAGCTCGGCGTTGTGTAGCACATGGTTGATAAAGTAGACCGTGATCTGGTGGCCGTCCCTTTAAACAAGCAGGACGACACTTAAGGAATGTTCTGAGATAGCGAGATAGATGTACAAATTCTCATTCTTGAGTGGACTGACGAGCCGAGGTAATGTATGTAGATGAATTTTTAACTGTACGAATGCTTCCTCTGCTTCTTCCGTCCACTCAAACATAGATTTCTTTTTTATGGTCTGAAAAAAGTATCGGCATTTGTCCCCTGATCTTGACAGAAACCGACCGAGTGCTGCTAAACAGCCGGTCAGTCTTTGCACTTCTTTAATTGTTCTTGGAGACGTCATGTCCAAGACAGCTTGAATTTTTTCAGGGTTAGCCTCAATTCCACGTTGATCAATCAAAAATCCGAGAAATTTACCGGACTCAACACCAAAGACACATTTCTTTGGGTTTAACATCATCTTATGTCGCCTGAGTTCGGTAAATGTTTCTCGTAGATCCTTCAGATGATCGGCCGGCTCTTTTGACTTGACAATCATGTCATCAATGTACGCCTCCATATTCCGGCCGAGCTGATCTCTAAAGACTGTATTGACAAGTCGCTGAAATGTTGCAGGGGCATTCTTGAGGCCGAACGGCATAACCTTGTAACAATACAGCCCCTGCTCAGTCACAAATGTGGTCTTCTCTTGATCTTTTTCCCATAGAGGAATTTTATGGAAACCGGAGTATGCGTCCATAAAGCTCATTAAGGCATGCCCGGCCGTAGAATCAACTAAGCGGTCAATTTTAGGCAAGGGAAAGCTATCCTTAGGACATGCTTTATTTAAATCCGTATAGTCCACGCACATTCTCCAAGTTCCATTCGGCTTCTTTACGAGTACTACATTAGCCACCCAATCAAAGGTAATAGCATTGCCGGATGAAACCAGCGTCCAACAGCTTTTTCGCCTCAACTGCGGCCACATGATTCCTCTCTTCTCCATGATTTCTTTTCTTCTGGCGGACAAGTTTAACGGATGGGTTCACAGCCAACTTATGCACGACCAGGTCAGGGCTTATGCCTGGCATTTCACTAACTTCGAACGCAAAAACATCCTTGAATTCTCTCAACAGTTGAAATAACTCGTCTCCAAGCAGACCCATATCTTTAGTGCCGACACTGACCGTCCGACCTGGTTGATCGGGGTCAAGCACTACATCTTGGTGATTGTCGACCGGCTGGGGTATCACAATAGTAGAAAAATATAAATAGGCAACCCCCTAATGCCACTAATTCAGGCCAAACCGGTGGTAAAAACCGGCCTAAGTTTGGGTGAGTTTTTATACAAAGAGAAAAGGCACCGGTTCAACTCAAACCGGTGCCAAAAATACAAAGGGCAGCGGTTTGAACCGGTGCCATTTGAACCGGGGCATTTTAAAAAAAAAAAACGCGGCCTTCTTTATTCTTCTGCTTCCTCTCTTTCTCTTTCATTCCCTTCTAGCATTCCGTTCACTATTATATTAGAGAAGAACACCCTCCCCCTTTTCCCTCCACCACAGCCGCCACCTTCACCAGCCACCAGAGGTATCGAAAACCACCGCCCCTCTATTTCAATCCTCCCCTGCCCTTCTGTTTTCCCTTTCTTCTCTTTCAAAGCTGCTGCCTCCACCAGCATTGTTCGAAAACAACAGCCACCGCTGCTACCTCCACCACCGCGCACCGCCTCCACCACTCCACCACAGCACTACCTCCACCATTGCGCACCACCGCTGCTACCTCCACCACCAAGGGTCTTCCTCAATATCTCCTCCCCTTAGCTTCTTCCACCTCTAACTAGTTTAGGGTAATTTTTTATATTTTTGTTAAAAAATTGAACAATTATTTTTAAATATGTAATTCTATTATTTTCAATAGCATTTTGAACAATTATTGTTAAGAAAATTAAAGTCAAGGAATGTATATAATTTTACCATATTTTTTTAATTTTTGAATTGGTTGTTTATTTAGAAATTTTGAATGCATATTATAGATTAGAGTAATTTTGCATTACATTGTTCCTTAGTTGAAAATTTTGTATGTTTTAATGGGTTATTTTAAGGTTGATTTAATGAGAAATTTTCAATATAGTAGAGATTAGTAAAAATGTTACTTAATTAGTTGAATTTTTGTATGTTATTATGTGTAATTTTAGGTTGTTTTAATGGGTAATTGTGAATATATTAGAGAATCAGTGACCTTGTTAATAATTAGCTGTGAATAAATTAGAAAATTGTGAATAAATTATAGAATTGTGATTACATTAGAGGATTGTGAATAACTTAGAGAATTGTGATTAAATTAGAGAATTGTGCATAAATTAGAGAAATAGTGATATTGCCACTTAATTAGTTGTGAATAAATTAGAGAATTGTGAATACATTAGAGAATTGTGAATATATTAGAGAATTAGTGACGTTGCTAATTTTTGTTTTTTTTTAAATAGATTCATATGTGAATTGAAGCACGAGTTTAGCTTGAGGTCTACATATTGACCTCAAGTGGGTAGTTGATATATTGGTATGACCTATAAACTTTATTAAGCTATATTTCTTTCTATTTATCCATTTAATAAAAGTTTATTCATGAAATTGCAACTTGTGTATTGTTTAATTGCAAATAAATACAACAATATATAGAATACTTGCATCATCATATGCCTAGATACCCGTTCAATGCTTTCTCATTAGGAGAAAGTCTTGAAAGTCTTGAATAGTCCCCGATTGGGACTGTCCTTGAATGTGTACTCTCACTTAGGTGGTGAATGTAGGTTTTCTTTTCGATTTTAAGGAACACCTTGGCTTACCATTTCCTCACTATGTTCTCTGGGTACATATGTGGGTAATTAATTATCTACATCGTGTACTTGGAGATCTAGGGGGAAATGCTGCCGGATTTTCCTTAAAATTGGAAAATTGACATACATTCTATAGTGAGAGTAGACATTCAAGGATGGGTTAGGTTGGAGTGATAAGGGCCCTTTGGAAACATGCATTTTTTCACTATATGAATGGTATATTCACATTTTGTACTTGAATTTGATTTACATAAAATATGTAGCAATTACACATTATTCATTATATGTTGCTATATATGTTTAGAGACAATTTACTAAATGGAGAAGGATCGTGGTTGGATGTATGGTAGACGCAATACATTGGAATTTTGGAATGGGGTTCAAGAGTTTCGCGAGAGGGATTTATCTTATCAACGCAAACTAGGTGGCAAAGGCCTTTATTGTCCTTGTGTTAATTGTAATAATGTGAATGTGGTCGATAGTGTTGAAATCATTAGAGATCATGTATTATGTCGTGGGTTTAGGCATTTATACCATGTGTGGATTTGGCACGGAGAAAGTGGAGAGTACAGTGGGGATCTTGATCGGAATGATGTGCGTGTTAGAAGCAATGAGATTCATGTGGACGAGGAATACGAGAATGATGACTATATTGTTGATAATGGTGAGGATGGAGCCAATGATGATCAGGAGGATGAGGTCGAGGATGAACAAGTGGATGAGATGTTGCATGGTGTTGAAGGTGGAGTGTTTGAATTATTATCGGAGTCTTCCAAAAAGCCTTTGTATCCTAGGTGCAAAAAATACTCCAAACTATCAGTTGTGCTAACACTTTTCAACATTAAGTCGAAGCATGGGTGGACGAACATTAGTTTTACTTCTTTTTTTACCGCATTAAGTGATATGTTGCCTGATGGGAAAGAAATTCCTAAGTCTTACTATTACACAAAGAAGCTCATGTGTCCCTTTGGTTTAGAGTATAAGATGCTGTATCAAAATGAGTATGAACAATTGCAGGAGTGTCCATGATGCAAGCGGTCATGCTACAAGCGCATGAGTTGCAATCCTGGTACGGAGGGACCTCCTGCTAAGGTTTTGTGGTATCTTCCCATTATTCCAAGGTTTAAGCGTCTGTTCTCAATACCAAAAGACGCTAAAAACTTGAGGTGGCATGCAGAGGGAAGAAAGAAAAACAGAATGCTGAAGCATCCAACTGACTCTCCACAGTGGAAGAACATTGATTTTAAGTTTGAGAAATTTGGTGATGAAGTCAGAAATTTAAGGCTTGGGTTGTGCACGAACGGGATAAATCCATTTGGCACTCTTAGTACCCAACACAGCACATGGCCGATACTTTTAGTGATTTATAATTTGCCTCCTTGGCTGTGCATGAAACGTAAGTATGTAATGCTTTCATTGCTAATAACGGGGCCTAGGCAACCTGGAAACGACATAGATGTTTACCTTGCGCCGCTTATTGACGACTTGAGAAAGATGTGGGACGAAGGGGTTTCTATTTTCGATGCTCATCAGAACGAGATGTTCACATTGCGTGCAGCCCTTATGTGGACCATGAATGACTTCCCTGCATATGACAACTTGTGTGGGTACAAGGTCAAAGGGAAAAAAGCATACCGCATTGTCTTGATGTGATGCATATAGAGAAGAATGTGTGTGGTGCTCTTTTGGGAACGCTTATGAATATCCAAGGAAAAACAAAGGACATAAAAGGTGCACGGTTAGATTTGAAAGAGATGGGAATTCGTCCAGAGTTGTGGCCTCAAGAAAAGGTTAGAAAGGGGAAGGAACCGAGAAAAGAAGATGAAAATGTTTCGAAAAAGGGAAGGAGAAGAGCAAGGGAAAGGGAAAGGCCAAAGATGCGTCAAAGAAGAAAGTTGGGGGTAAAGGGAAGGATGAAAAGAATTGTTTACCCCCGGCTTGCTATACATTGTCAAGGTTAGGGAAACGTATGTTTTTTGCATGTCTGTACGGCATTAAGGTTCCATCAGGGTACTCATCTAATATGAAAAGATTTGTAACCTTAAATGGAGAATTGAAGCTGACAAGTATGAAATCCCATGATTGTCACATTATGATGCAAGTATTCCTACCGATTGCAATCCGTGGTATTCTACCGAAAAACGTGAGGGAAGCGATTACAAGCCTTTGTTCGTTTTTCAAGACAATTTGTAGCAAAGTGCTTGATCCTTGTACACTAGATGCTTTGCAAGCAGATGTGGTTGTGTCTTTGTGCAAATTTGAGTGTATTTCCCACCCTCATTTATTGACATAATGGTGATTATCCTACATGTGATTAATTATTCAAAGTTCATGCACGCAGAGCACTACAGGAGCACTTAACTGAAACTGATTCTCCTTGTAAAGTTGGGTGGTTATGCCCTGAGCAGTTATCCACTACTAGAATCATAGGCAACCCCTTTGACGTGTTGTACTATGTTGAGCAAAGTATTAGGGAATCAGCGCGTGCGGGAGACAAGTTCATATTCGCCCCATGTTATAAAGAGTAAGTCTAACCATGTCAAATTCAATCGATTTGGCCTCATTATATGTTGACTCCTAAATATTAATTTGCTTGTCTATTGTGAACTTATGTAGAAATCATTGGAGCCTCAAGGTGATTTGTAGTTCCAATAGCACAATTTATCACCTTGATTCAGCTCGATCATCGGAGAAGTGGCTCGTGAAGTCTATATTGCAAAAGTAAATATATATAGCTACCTAGTGATGATTATTGCTAATAATAACTAATTTAGTAGTCATGTGACTAATCAAATTTGAATGTACTTTATTTACTACAGTGTTATAAAGAAGCTACATTGTCGTGCTCCACAGGGTCCAACATGGAAGTCACCGTTGGTAATTTACATGATATTGTGATTATCTTCAAAATCTATGTTAGTAAATATTTGCTAATTTCCTTTGCATGTTTCACTGATGTGATTTTTTTGTCATATGCTAGTGCGCACAACAAGAAAATGGACTTGATTTTTCTTTGTATGTGATGAGATTCATGCTTGACATAGTGACTCATTGTACGGACAGTCAACAGCTTGATGAGGTAAGTCCTAAAACTTAATGAAATTCTATATTGATGTGATTTCTAGCCTTAGACACATAATACTACCCAACATTGACATGTTATGAGAAATAAAAAGGTCATTTGACAAGAAAGGTAGAAAATGGGCTGAATAGAAGTCATATGGGCCATATTTGGGCCATTTTGTGTTAATATGCTCTTTTGATGTGATTTCTTTCCTTATACACCTATAACTAGATAATATTGTTGACATGTTATGAGATAAATAAAGTTCATTTAATAAGAAATGTAGGAAATGGGCAAAGTAAAGTCATATAGGCCATTTTAAGTAAAAAGCGTCTTAAACATTAATAAAATGTTTTTTTGATTCAATTTTAGGTCTTAGACACGTAAAACTAGGTGACATTGAAATTTTATGTGAAAGAAATAGTTTATTTGATAAGAAATGTAGGAAATGGGCTAAATAGAAGTCAAATAGGCCATATTTGGGCCATTTTGAGTAAAATGTGTTGTTAAACTTAATGAAATGCTTTATTGATGTGATTTCTAGCCTTAGACACCTAATATAACCCAACATTGACATGTTATGAGAAATAAAAAGGTCATTTGACAAGAAAGATAAAAAAAATGGGCTGAATAGAAGTCATATGAGCCATATTTGGGCCATTTTGTGTTAATATGCTCTTTTGATGTGATTTCTTTCCTTATACACCTATAACTAGATAATATTGACATGTTATGAGATAAATAAAGTCCATTTAATAAGAAATGTAGGAAATGGACAAAGTAAAGTCATATAGGCCATATTTGGGCCATTTTGAGTAAAAAGCGTCTTAAACCTTGATAAAATATTTTTTTTATTCAATTTTAGGGCTAAGACACATAAAACTAGGTGACATTGACATGTTATGAGAAAGAAATAGTTCATTTGATAAGAAATGTAGGAAATGGGCTAAATAGAAGTCATATAGGTTATATTTGATAAAATACATATTGTTTTGCCTAATTAATTAATTCTAACATAATTTTTTTGTATTTCAAGTTTTACAAGGTCCAAAAGGATGGTCCGTTGACAATCAAGGAGCTTAATGAAGTTCGTGACATGTTGGCGTCTTTTATCACCTTCAACATGTAAATGGCATTTTAATTGTAAATTTATGTTAACTTTTGAACTATATTATTATTCATTATTTACTTACTATCATTTGTATATATATATAACATTTTTTTATTGTATTGCGTTTGGGAATATTTATATCTATATATATATGAATTCTTGTTATTAATATTACTTGTATCTTATTATAATATTTAATAATATTATTATTAGTAGTAATTATAATAATAATATTATTAAAAATTTCATTTAATATTATTGCTGGAATTACAGGTTATTATTATTGCTGGAAACAGGGTGTTTTTTTTTAAAATATTATTGCACGAAAAATGGAAAAAAAAATATTGAGTGAAAAGGCACCGGTTAACCGGTACCGAAACTAGTTGCCACCAAAAAAAAATTAACGCGGAAGATTATTTTAGGCATCGGTTAACCGGTGGCCAAAATAATTAAAGGCACCGGTTTTGAAACCCCCCACATAAAAACCGGTTCAAACTGGTGTCTTAGACCGGGTTTGAACCGCTGCCAATTATTATTTTTCTACTAGTGTCAGCTCTTCAGGCCGGTCGACAACCATTCATTGCTATGCTTGGTCGGCCATGACCTGCTTTCGCTTTTGGCCGACTTGGTATGCTTAGAGTGGGGGTTCTTCTCCTTTCAACTCACACGGCTTTCCGTGTCCGCGAATTGTTGGCTTAACAGCTAACTAGTTGCACTCTTTTGCCATTTTCTGTCTCCCTTGAATTGAACCAATCTTTCCGTCCAAACGTTCAAACTTTAACAACATTAAATAGGGGACAATCACAGCCTTTGCAGCATTTAGGGTAGGACGGTCGAGTATGACATTGTAGCCAGTCAATTCTTTCACCACCAAGAATCGAACGACCATGTCCCTCCTTTCTCCTTTTTGCCCGAATCGAACTGCAGATCTATATGTCCGACTAGGTGAATGATGTTTTCCCCAAATCCCAGCAAGGGGTGAGTGATGTCTTTCAAAGCATCTTCTGGTAACTTCAAATTCTTCAGGGCGGCCAGGCTGATGATATCGGATGAGCTACCCGTATCTATCAGTATTCGTCCCACCTTTAAATTGTTTATCTTCATGATAAACACCATAGGGTCATTGTGCAAGGCTTTGACCTCCCCCCGGTCAGCTTCGGACACGGTTACCTCAGGGAAAGGTTCTTTCTTCACAGCGTACGCCTGCATCACCTTTCCTAAGTTCCAGGCGTTCTGCTTAATACCCTTCATGGTGGGGCCGCCTGAGGCGAATCCCCCTGATATCACGGCCACAAAGCCCAAATCGGTATTGTTCCCATCATCTTCTTTATCATTTTTCTTCTTCTTCTCGAACGTGTTGTCTGTCCGTGTATAGGTGAACTTGGACTTCGTCACATAGGAATTCAATATGCCCTTCTCGGCTAGCTTGTCCAATAGTCTCTTCAGATTGATGCAATCGTTTGTGTAATACCCCACATCCTTGTGGTAGTGGCAGTATTTGTTTTTGTTTCTGTACTGAGCCGAGCCTCTTAACAGCTGGGGCTTTTCAAACTCGAACTTATCTTTGATTTCCATCAGGATGGAGTAACAATCCTTGTTGAACTCATACTGAGGCTCGTACGTCTTGACTTTCTGTGATTTCTGTTGTTGGTCGTCGGCCATCCAGACTTCTTTCCTTTTATTTCCTTCTTTTTTTTTTCCAACTGAGTCTTGCTGAGTAGATTGTTTCTTCTCAGCCCCGTTGGCCGGTACCTTTGCTTTTGTAAGAGAACGAAATTCGGCTGCCTCAATGTAGGCTTCGGCTTCCTGCAGCATGTCTGCGTATGTCCGAACCCCTTTTCTTATCAAATCAAACTTAAACCATTATGCCTTAATCCCCGAAGAAATTCAGAGTAAGCCATTTCTTCCGGCAGATTATGAATTTGGGCTTTTTCTTGGTTAAATCTCTAGACGTACGAACGTAGGTCCTCATTTTTTCTCCTTGCACAATTGTTGCCAAATTGATACTTGTCTTTCGAGGTGGTATGTTATAAGAGAAATTTCCCACGAACAGCAAACTGAGTGTGGTAAAAAAATTGATACACCTGGCCGGAAGGCTGTTGAACCAATCCTGTGCCACACCCTTCAAAGTGGTTGGGAAGTAATTGCAGCAGGTAGCGTCATCTACGCTTTGTAAGTACATCAGGTTTCTGTACGAAGTGATATGTTCCTCGGGGTTGCCCGTATCATCATAGGTGCCCACGAGTACACTTTTCACCTTCGGCGGCTGAGGAGCAGTTAAAATTTCTTGCGAAAACGGAGGCGGCTTATCTCCAAGACACAGTAAACTTATCTTCCAATCAATTAGTAGGGGTTGCACCGGCTGTCCGGGCAAATAAGGAGTCTGGTCGAACGTCTGACCGAACGGCCCATACTGTCTGAAGACCTGGGGGCTCGGCTGCAAAATGTCGTTGAAACCCTGAGGGGGCTGATACTGAAGGGATTGTACTGGAATAGGGGTTTAAGTACCCATAGCTTGACTCCTGCTGGAGATGACCGAGTTGCTATGTTGGGAAAGAGAGTGGTTGGAAAATTCATCCGGCATTGTGGGAGTTGAAGTCGTGTCCGAGTAAGCAGCACACTCCCGTTGCTTATGCTGAAGATAGTCTCTCGGATCCTTCCATTGTCGAGACGGCTCTGTTTCCTCTCTTCGAGGCTGTCTCTCCCTCCCCCCCAGCCGACTGGGTTTTCGCCAATAGATTAGACAAATTCGTCTGTGGCACCCTTGGAGACCTTTCATTCGGCCGGCGAAATGGGGTGTTCCTAGCATCTTTTGCATTGGTTTCTTTGTTTTGTGTTTTCTTTGGAGCTCTTTCTCCCTCCTTCCTAGGCGGCTACCTAGAGGTAGAAGCTCGGTTGCTCTCGAACTCCTTCCGAAGTTTGTTGAGCACGGCCTTCAAAGAAGCAGCGATAATAGGAGGATCATCGGCCTCATGAAATAAGGCGGCCAATGGATCACTGGTTAGAATTGTAGGGATTATGTCCTCTACATGACCGTCCTAGCCTGGACGAGGGCCGCTATTAGGTGCCTGACCATCTATTGCCATAACGGACGAGTATCCCCACATACGGCGCCAAATGTTTCGAGTGTTTTTTGGATTTCCTCGGATACTGGTCGCGCTCTTCAGGCAATGAGACTCGGACACCTACAAAATAAACGAATATTCCTTTACCAGAATATTCGCCTCCGACGATCTAGTTAGATATTTGAACAAAAAAGGCTTAGAGAGAGAAAGTAGAGAGAAGTTGGAGCTATTTAATGGTCTTGCTTGTAATGTCGTAATCCACTGCTCCCATCATAAATGATTGGGGTATTTATAGGGGTGGGAGTTTGTGCCCATTTAGGGTTTGTACCCTAAAATTCTGTGACGTGATTGGCTGCGCAATCAGAAGATGCCATGTGTAGTACGGGGGCACCGTTTTGCGGCTTTCATGAATATCCCTTGGGATTTGGGCCATGATGTAAGAAGGCCTTTTTAATGCTCATTTCAAGGGCTCTTTTGTGCCTTAGACATGTGTCACCTTCCCATAGTGACACGTGTCGCCCTACAATTGGGCCACGTGTCGTTACGGGATTAGTCTACGTACATGGGATATTTTTACCCTAAATAGGGTCTACTACCCTAATCAAATTAAATATTTATAAACCTAAACTTGCACTAAAATAGTTAGTGGAAAGTAAAGGGTCGAACCCAAAAAGAAGCACACGAGTTAAACACCAAATTCACTAATGCACGAGTAAATGATGGTATATTTTAGTTGAGTTTCTTTGATTAAAAGCTCAAAAGAAATAAGAAAGAAATATAAAGAAGGACTAAACCAAAGGAAAACAACGTTAGGGGGTATGGGTTGTCAAACACAATTAACAAATATAGACAATGATGATTATTATGAAGATCATGCCATATAATACAAAATTCTACCTAAAAAACTCACTCTCATGCAATTGTCTAAGCAAATCAATGAATGAGGTCTTGGCCAAATCAAGATCACTTGCATGCATTCAAATAAACACTTATTAAATCAAGAGATTAAGAGTGTACAATACATAAAATTCTACTTAAACAATTCACTTTCATGCAATCATTAAAGTAAAGATGATCTTATCCTAATTCAAATCACTATGGTGCTTCTAAATTAGGGAACATCAAATAATGTGCTTCTAATAATCTCAAACTATCAAATATCCTACATTCATCAATTCATAGCATGAGTTCAATCAATCATCATCAATTATCAATTTTAATCCATACCCTTCACCCCCTTCCCCTAGCTAAAAACTTAACCTAGAGAAGTGAAGGAAACCATGAAAACTAAACAATGTAAGAAAACATAATTAACGAGGATGAACATGAAAATCAAACAAGAAAGAACAAAATAAGCAAGTAATGAATCAACAAAACAATAAGTAAAAAAAATGAAAGTAATAGACTAAATTAAAGAGTTAGGGAGGAAGAGTTTACTAATGGAAGACTTAAATTGACAAAGCAGGAAGAAGATCAAGATGCAACAATGGAGAAAATCCTAATCTAACCCTAAGAGAGTGAAAATTAGCGAGACTAAAAATTAATCTGGGTGAATTAAAATTAAGAGAGTATTAAGCTAAAAATGGGTATTTATATTACAAGCTAAATAAAATAAGAAAAGAAAATAAAGAAATAGAAAAAAAAATAAATGAAAAAGGAAAAAAAAAAAAAACCCCCACAAAAATAGAAATCCCAAAACCCATAAGCTTCCTTCCTCCTTCGTGGCTGCTTTGTTTCAATCATCATTTAACCATCATTAGATTCATCACCACCATCACAAGCAATCAAACAGCTGGAAAGCTTCCCTTTCAATCATCATTAAATCTTGGCCCTTGGATAAATGACACGAAATCTTAGCCGTTCTAATTCATTAATCCGTACAAATAACCCCGTAAAATTGGAGCGGCCGCGGCTAGGCATCTCCTGAAAGTTGGACGAGGTTGGAAGGACCCAAGGTCGCACTCGCACTGGTCTGGGTTGTAGTGAGTTGCCAATTGTTGCGGTAATTGATCGTCGCTGCTATTATTGTTGTAGGTGAATGTATGACGGTTGCTGGGAGCAACGTGGGGAAAACGGTGGTGAGATAGGCTGGGATTTTGGGGCTGTTTGGAGATTATTGCGGGATGTTGCGCTGTGAGGTGGTGTATTGGTTGTGATAGTTGCGAGGTGAAGCAGGGGAAGTGGGTTGTTTGTGTGTTTGTTGTGGCTGAGTTCGGTGGTGTTGTGGCTGTGAATGCTGCCGGTGATTATGGTGGTTTTAGGTGTGGGAATGCGTGGCTGGTGGTGGTTGAAATGGGTGAAATGGAGTTGTGGGCTGCTTTGGGAGGCTGGTGTGAGGAGGCACAGCAGGGAGCAGGGGAAATGGTGAGCAAAGGTGAGGTGTAGGTCTAGGTGATTGTGGGGTGTAGGATAATGTGGCAGCAACTTTGGGGCTTGGATGCTTCTTAGAGTGACACATTTGACTCCAACCCGGAACACCAAACACGACCTACAACAAAAATAAGAGGGGATTATCAAGAGATAAACTAAAGATAAAAAAAAAATGATAAAATTAAAGTAAAATAAAATATAAAAACTAAAAGAAATAATAAAATCAAATTAAATAAAATAAAATATAATAAAGAAAACAAAATTGAAACTAAAAGAAATAATCGAAGGAGTAAGACGAGAAGATTATTATTAACTAGTACCAAGACTAGAAATATTAGAGAAAAATAAATTACGAAATTAAACTAAAAATCACTAAAACTTACCAAAATACTCAAATTAAAAGACAAAAGACGAGAATAAGCAAATAAGTGAAATAAAGACTAAAAAGAGAGAAATTATTTAGAAAATAACTAGAAAACAACACTTTAAGGACCCCTAAAACTGACATAAAAGTTACTTATCAATTCGGCATAAACATCTAACTGCTCTTTATTCAAGTTCTTTATTCTTTTGGACTAATCTTCTTAGAGTTGTTTGATGTCGTAAAGCCTTTCTTCTGCAATAAGCTTGTTTTCCATACTTTCTGCTTCTATAAAATCAAGTTGTTGTAGGTCTTTGAAATCTACCAAGCACTTTCCAAATTTCACCAAAATCCTATCAATCTCAAGTAGTGTGTATTGAAAGGAATGGTGTCCTTCGAACAAGTGTATTATTGCGATAGAGGGTTCGAAATTAATTAGGAAGCTAATTATTCAGTGAGATCAAGTGATCGGACTGCCTAGCTCGAGGTCGCTTCCAATCAGTAATACTAATGAATAATTAATATTACAACTTAATCTTGATTGAACCCTTTGGGTCACACCCAATCGTGTAACTGAACCAAAATGACAAATTAATCCGAAGGATAAATGAGTTAATAGATTTTTATGAACAAAGTCAACAGATTCCAAGCTTAGAGCGTCGAAGCCGAGCGTGATACGTCGAATTATTTCAACAAATCAAGAAGATGAGAAAATAAGTCAAATTACAAGTCAACGCGCTAAGGCCTAGCCAAGCGAGGGCTAGGCACGCTAGGCTAGCAAGGGTGCTAGCCATGTGCTTGCCTTGGCCGCAAGCCTAGCAGCCATGCATGTGTGTTGGCTAGGCAAGCCGGCTAGATAGCAGCGCCAGCGTGAAGGTTACACCCCTTAACGATCCATGAGATCGTTAACTCCAATAGGTGTGGAACCATGACTGGAAGTTCGGGGATGAAGGTACAAATCCAACATAAAAGAGATTAAACTTGCCCTAATAATAAGCCTCTACTTTATTCTTCTCGTA